GTTACATTTCTTTGGTGCCCTTTTGCTGAGGAGCTCAAAATGCCACTGTCGCTTCAACACGACTGTGAAGCAAATTAGGTTGGGGGAGAACGACAGACAAGCATCAAAAGTCTCTTGCCTTCCATATTCCAAAACCCCACAGGCTGTCAAAATAATGTGCAACTCACATTAAAAAGGGATGGGGCTTTGACTGCATGGGCATGGCCAAAATCCTGGCACTTTTGAACCCCTGCCCACAGAATAGGCAAATTTACTCAATGTCCCAGATACACTGATAGTTCCTCCATTGTAACAGAAGAAGCTGATTCTTTCCTCCAAACCACACAGACAAACAAGACAAGTGTAACTGGGCTCCAGATTAACTCAGCTTAATCTCTAGGAACAGTGCCCAGTAACATCTGGAGAATTCCCAGATTCCCTATTCGTGAGACATTGCTCAGGAGGACCAAATGTCCTAATCTAATATGCTTCTCCCAGGAGTGATCTTTGGAAAGATTCTAAAGAGGGTATGAAGAAGATAGACCTCCTTCTGCTCTCCATCAGAACGTAACTGCTCCTGAACCTGGAGGGGTCACTGAATGATCGTATCAAAAAGCTATTGGAGGTCCTGAACTTTCTGAATTTGTGTTATTTCTCCTTTTAAAGTCATCTAAGCTTTCAGTGACCTTCATTACATTTGTTGTTGCAATTTTTATATGTCCATTATGGATATGTAGATCTCAAAGGGAAGACTTCCTTAGGTCTACCCTGAAAATGGCCACCAATTTGAGGGACCGAAGTTTTAGCTTAATAAGAATAAGGAAAATAAAACTTTAGCTCTAGTTTTTGCCTTTCTCAGATGTATAACCTCCTCTCTCTCCATTATGGTGATGATCTGACAGGAAGCAGATTGCTGAGCAGAACTTCTTATTCTTAGTTATCAGCTTGAGGAGAGACCCCAAATATATAGGCAGGAAACAGATAGCAATTGGATTGAACAAAGGCCTTGGAGTTTAATGAACATATGAAAAGCACATTGAGAACTGCTGGTATTGCTACCTTGAAGTATTCTGGACAGACAGTGGACAAATTGTCCCCGTAGTACAAAAAGTGTTTGAAGCTATGGTGGTCACACAGCTGCTTGATGGTGCTTTAGTGTGCTCCCTTAAAGATTATAGACCTTTAGAGATTGTTCAGTTTAAATTCTTACAGTACCGGCTGTCTCTAATGGCACTGTGTGTTTAAAAACAGGATTGGTGACACTAGAGGCCAGAATATGAAGATACTGTTTTAATCTAAAATCAGTTAAAGCTGATTTTTCTCACCAGCTGTGCTAACCTTATTTATTCTGAGAGGTAGTTTGAAAGACAGATGAGGACAGCTCTAATGGAAAAATTCTGTCTTTGACATCCCCCCCCCCCCCGAAATGTATGGCTTTTTTAAGTTTAAAGAAAGCAAGGAAGTGATTAAGGACAAGTTCGGGGTCTCAGTTTAGCAAAGAGACTTCAGTGCAGCTCCAGAAATTCTCTCTTATTGGGAGCCTTTTCCTTCCAGAGTTAATGCTTTGCTGGTGGTGATTTTAGCAGGTGGTTATTTGCAGCATGCACAGCCCTGCTGCCCATTTGATGGAGAGCTGAGACAGACAGTGCAATTATTTTTGAGACAAAGAAATGCAATGTCTATCATATGGAATGTTGGGCATATACAAAAATTGGGATGGGGTCCATACCGTTATATAGCTCCTGAGTCATCAGAAAACTGAAATCGTTTATAAGGTGGCCAACATTTGTGTGGCAACCATGCAAGAAGGCATCTTGTCAATCTCTTGGAGGGGCTGGATCTCTGAGGCAGTTTATTTAGCTTTGAGCAGAGGAAAGGTTGCTGAATCTTGTAGGTCTCTGTCCTACAATGGTTATATTAATCCTACCCCTACATTTTAAATTCTTTTATATTGTTTGTTATTGGGCTATGAAATAGTGGATGTTTCACAGGCAAAAATGTATGCCTGATGTGTTTAAGACAGAGTCAAAAGATATAATAAAACTGGTGATCATCAGCATATGGATCCACTAAATCAATCCTCATTCTATCAGACCGAATTGTATAAATATAAGAGCTGTATTTACACCACACTTTTAATACACAAGCAGATGCATTTTCTACAACTTGCAGACTAGATTTGGGTTAACTTTCTGACATTTGCTGGGTGAACTCAGCCCTGTTGGCTAAGTTTGGGGTCTAGTATATTGTGCAAATTCAGGAAATCAGATAATTCAGTAATCAGGCTAAATGTACCACACAGCCAATAACGTGACCCTGATTTTTTTAATCTCTGATGGAAGTATAATAGAAGGAAGTATATAGCCCATAATTTTACCTTTACTTTTTAGCAGTATGCCTGATAGTGCAATCCTACTTAAAAGTAAGTAACTCTGATTAAATTCACAACTCATATGGGATTGTAACCCAGATTACTTGGATAGGATGTACAAGGTTACTTAGATAGGATTTGACGGATTAACAAAAATTATGCCCAATACATCTGTGGGCAGTAAAAACAAGAACAAAAACCAAATATTGGCAGTTGGTAGAATATTTTAAAAACAATAAAATATTATGTTGCAACAGTTATTTATTTGCCAATGACTTAATTTATGGTCAGTTCAATAATGTAAATGGACAGCTGGCTAGCTCAATCCAATGTGTGTTAGCACAGAAGCAACCCCATTTTGGTTCACGGATTCACACTTAAGGATTCCAGCTGGGCAATGCAGTGTTGTATTGTATGTTATGTTCTGAAGAAAGTCACCCTTACATTCAACACATTAATTTTCATCTATGTGCATATAGTATTGAAGCCAAACCAAGCTGGCAAATAAATAAAACGAAATCAAAATCAAGTTTCTGGAAATGGAAGATGCAACAAGCTGATGGACTCCGTAGACAAGATAAATGGCAAATTTCTATTGTCCTTCCTCCGTACTTCCCTTCCTGATTAATCTGTTTGCATACCTGTTTAGTCTGTCTCCTGTTCTAGTTCATTAGATCTTTCTTTCCAAAGGGGGAGGGGGGGGGGAAGCAAGGTAACTTAAATGAGAAACGTTGAAGATCATCTACAGTTTTTAAATAATATATATTCTACTCTTGTCCTGCATTACAATAATCTTTCTCACACTTTCTCAGCCCTTTCCAGATTACTTTCTCCTAATAAGTAAGAAAATAAATCCACAGATTAAAGATACAATGCTTCCTGCATTCCAGGGCTGCCAAATTGTTTGATGGTTAAAAATCCTACATTCCCCACCCACTCCAGGCCCATCACCAAGAAACTAACTTACAATGATGATCTTAATAATAAAATATTTCTCAGAATGTGCAGAATTCCTTTCCTGTCTGGAAAGCCCCATTGGAAGAATGCAATTGCAGTCATGTTGGCTGTGGGAAAAATAGTCTAACATTTGCCAACTGACATAGCAAAGTTCCAAGCTTTACTCTTACCTAGCAGGTAATACTTTTGAAAGGAGTTGGAAGGGAGAAAGGAGAGGAAAAAGTGTTATTGATTTTGGAACTAGGAGTAAATTTGAAACCTGAAAGTTTGCAACAATTCTGTAAAGTTTTGTTGGCTTAATTATGGTATTACTGTGCATGGTTTTGGAGAAATAGGTTCCCAGACACAGTGTACAGTAATAAAAATTCAACAGCAATAGAAACAACAATTTTGCTATCACATGTGGGCTGAAAACATCTGGATGACCCCTAGATGGTAGGAAAACAATAGAAAACTAACTCTAGTGATTATCCAGATGTTTGTGGCCCAGATCTGGTAACCTTAAACAAGGGCAACTTTTTCTTCTGAAGATAAATGCTTCAGTGCAATTGTATTTGAAAACTCACAAATGCTCAATAAACATGTCAGTTAGAAATATTTATGGTTTTCCATTTCTAAGTTTTGTCCAGTGACAGCTCTACCTAAAGCTATGTATGAGGCTTAGAATAAAAAAAAAACACCAAATGAGTTGACAGATCAGGTGAGGGACAACCTGATTTTAGGTTTGTCTGCTTGTAAGTAAGTTCCACTGAGTTGAATGGGATTTACTCCTAGGTAACATATATATCAACAGCTTGGCTCACCCATGTGCAGCACTCCATACCAAGTCTAGTAATAATAGCATTTCCAGCGTGTCTGTGTTTCAAAGGGCAAAATCCACCCGTAGAGAACTGGATAAGGTATTCAAGGCCATCCAGCCTAAATCTCTGAATTACTGCCTCAGTGCTCTTGAACAGCTTGACTAGTTTTCTAAATAGGATATTTGGGCCAATAACAACAGACAAGGTACAACACAGGATTGGAAGTGTTGCAATCTTGGTTTTTTTTTTTTTTATTGCAAGTATCTAAATTAGTGTTAACTAGGTAACTTCCAGATGTGTGGACTTCAACTCCCAGATTCTCTCAATGGCCATACTGACTGGGGAATTCTGGGAGTTGACCTGGAAGTGCACATTTTCAACTATTGCCCAGGTTGGGAAATACTGATATACATTACAGGTAATGATGTAATTTTCCAACCATGTTCCAGGGAACCTCAGAGTCCTTTGGAAACTTCTCAGAAGGTCAGTTAGGACATTAGTGGTGTTCTTCTCTGCCATGCGCAGTTATGTGAGTGTATAGGAAGCACAGAAAGGTGTTCTTGGGGTGTAGAGTTAGAGTGTTAGACCAGGGTATGAGAGACATAGCTTGAAATTCCCCATCAGCCACAAATCTTTCTTTCAAATAACTGATGACCTACTTCTCAGGGTTGCTCTGGAGGAAAATGAGAGATAGCTGTGCACTTTCCTTTGGGTTTGCTAGAAGAAAAGCCCATAGAAAGGGAACAGAATACATAAAGAATTGCCTGGTCCCTCTTGGACATGTGAGTAGTCTGTTACAAGACGGGCACGTTTATTTAGCCAACAAGTCAAGATGGACAGTTGCGGAGTGGAACGTGATTCCTAAAGAGGCAAGAACAATTCTGCAGACTCACCCATGAAGTAGCTGGCAATTTTGCAGAGGGTGCTGCCAAAAATGAAATCCTGTAAGAGGTTGGGGATAAGGGTGAAGGGCATACAGAAGAAGCACAGCATGAGGTCGCTGATGGCCAGTGACAGCAGGAATAAGTTGGTGACTGTCCTTATCCTTTTGTTTCTGATCAGCACCGTGATAACCAGGGTATTTCCCAGGACGCTGAGTAAAAAAATCAGGGAATATAGGAGGATCCGAACTGTCTGGTCCAACTCTGCAAGCCAAAGTGAACAATAATCAGATTCAAAAGCAGCATCATGGAAAATCGCAAGATGCATGTGGTCATGCCAGCGGGTGGTAGCCTTTCCTTTCTATGCAGGGGATGATGTGCGTGGCGGATATGGCATCCAGTATTTCTGCTTTTTATCTGAAGAGGGGTAGTTTTTCTCACTGAGACACGAAAGCTGGAAAGGAACTGGTGGGGCAAGCAATGCCCCCACCACGGGTAGCTTGCTTTATGCCCCCTTAAGAGTGGGATTCCTACAATTACTTGAAGGAACGGGACTTCTCACATCCTTACCTCCACCCCCACCCCCTTTTTTTTCCTGTGGCCAGCTCAGTCCATCTGCCATATGTCGTCTTCTCTCCAAGCCCATGAGCAACATCCTCCTTCACTATGCCTGGAACAACACCCTTGGCAGTAATGGGTACTGAGCATGGGCTTGCCAGGGGCTCAAAACAGAATGATGTGAGAGGGACAGATGACATTTGCAGGGGAGAAGTCATAAGCAGGAGGAAAGATGGTCAACTTATCCGACTGATTTCTCCCCAGTTAGATCCTAAGCACACGTATGCCAGTCAGCTCAAGGCCAGTGATGCGAAAAACAGGGAAGCATGGTAAACGGAGGAAGGACTAACCCTGTTCCTTGCTTGATGCTTCTCTCCTGCAAATTTCTCCCTTCCTTCCATTTTGCAAAGATTGAAAATTTCATATTTGCTCTCAGTTTTGTACCTTTGCCCCAAAGGTTGAGAAACTGTGATTAAAGTTAGTAGAACTGGAGGATATCTTAATTCTGGTAAAGCCAATGACAGAAGGGACAGTAATCTTATATGGAGTCTAGTGCAAACCCCAGATCGTCTCTGGTTGCTTTCATTACCCTCTAAAAAGTAGTTTGATCAGCCTATGTGCTCCTTTGCTTGCTTCTCATTTTCTTTGTAACACCCCCTATGTTTTCTTTCAAGGGGTTGGTCTGCTAGGCTCCTAAAACGTTATTCCTGCTTATTGCACCATGATACTGCTAAGTTATAAAGTTTTAATTTTTTTCTAGTTCTGTGATTCCATTAGACAGCAGGAGACTAATACATAATTGCATGTTTTAACACGCGTGGTTAATTCGTCCTATATACCCTTTATAGTAACTGCAGTAGCCCTCGGACTGTTTATTTGAATGTTTTCACTTAATTCTCTTGAACCTTTTCAGTCCTGCAGTGCAACTTTTAACATTTCTAGTACCACCAGTAATTATAATTTGAAAATAAAAACACATTTCTTCTTTTTCCCTTTCTTGATCAACAAATGTCACTTTTCACACAGCCTGACTTAAAATGCTTCACAAACTGTTTACTTTAGATTAGCTACCGGTACATTCCTTCTTATTTTTAAAATAGCACCCACCTTTAAAAGGCCGAGAAGAGTGGTTCATGCAGAAAATGGTATAATTTTCTAAGCCGAGTTCGCACAGGAGGGCGGAAATATTGGAGCTGAGGTCGATCAGGCTGTCATTAAAGATATCCATCCTTCATTCTCCTGAGGTGGGTTTCTATGCCAGGCTGCATAATTTGGCCACTAAGGATCCATTCTTGCAAAGGAGACTTTGGCAAAAATCTGCAGTGGGGTGTTTTCACCCAGATGGTCAGTTGTCCAAGAGAGCTGTTCTGCAGCCACCCATATGGAATGATAAGTCCCAAGTATTCTATGGAGCATGGGAATGACTGTTCCTAGTAAGACCTGAGAAATCTGGATACTGCAGAAAGCAATGCATGTGTGCACAGCAGAACTCTTTTTCCTGCCTCCTAGACCCACCCCTTCCCTATTATTGACTGTGGCTGCTGTGGGGATCATAACCATACTGGAGAATGATTACAGAATTAACCCCTTCCACCATTGCTCTTGGTCGCCTCACATTTTCTCAAGCCGGTTGCATCCACGAGGCAATCAGTCAAGTACAATTTGAAGAGCCACAAATCAGATTTTGACAGCTGCTTTCAAGACAGGTTTCATCAGAAGTGGTCCCCAGAGTTCAGCTGGACTTTAAGATGCGCATAAAACAACAGCTTGAGGCAATAGTGTTCCCTGAGGGTTTTAAAAAGTACTGTTCCTTTTATCTGCTGTCCGTTTCTCTTACACATGCAGACACGCACACCTTTTTAGGCTTCTCAACTGGGAAAATGTTTCTTTATTGAAAACGTGTCTAAACTACCCTTTATCCAAAGGCAGCATGCAATAGACATGTAAGTACAATAGAAGCAATTTTTGTAACAGTCGTAGCTCTCAGTGCAAATTGCAGGCGGGCAGAGAGAGCATTGGTTTTCTAAAATGCCAGCGTTCAGAGAAATTCCTGACACTGGAAAGATTACAATACTAGTGTCAGCTCTGTCTTTTCAAAGAAAGCACCCAGAACTGAGTGCCACTGCAGAAAAAGCCCCCTCTGTAGCATACACGTAGTTCAAACTGTTAAGAACAGCACGTCCTGAAGATTATGGTTTTACAATAACAGAAATACACATAATTTTAAAGCATTAGTTGTAGGAATTCTCAATTATTCTCTGGGTTTTGTTAAAGAATGTAAGGTGCATACATTAAGTCTAGCTATTTCAGTGCAAGGATCTTACTGATCCAACTGAAATCATTCGATTTGCGACCTAAGCAGAAGTTGGCAAGCCAAGGAAGGTTGCCATCAGAGGCAAAGAAAGGGACGTATGCTGAATCTTTTTTTTCCCTTTCTGTCATTTTCTTCTCAAATTCACTGTATCTTCCTGGTGGTAATGAGTGGGAACACCCTTTCCTCATCATTCCACCCTCTCGTCTGCATTTCAGGAGTGAAAAAACAGACAGGAGATCACACCATCATCACCCTATAATGTATTCCTTGGAAATGCTCCTCATAGTACATACAGACTATAAAACATTCTCATTCAGGCTGAAAAGCTAGACAAGGGGAGAAATTACATTTTTGTAGGCATCTCTTTCTATAGAAAGTTCTTTGCACATGGAAAACTGAACCATGTGTTAAATTACTGTACATGCACTTATTTATTAACTCATTGACTGCATTTAATTTCTTGAATAGGATTCTTCTTGGGAACCCTTGAAGATATGATCTTAACTTCCCATGGGAAGATGTCTGGAATTCTGCAGGCTCCATTTACCTGACTTAGAGTCAGCCTTTCCTTTAAGAACTCAAGGTGGTGTAGATATATAGCTTGGCTATAAAAAAGATGGGACTTCTAGCTTCCTCAGAGACCCACAAAGTGCCTAACTAGCACTTCCAATTTTCTCCCATAACAACCATCCTGTGAGGTAGGTTGGACTGAGAAACAGAGTGATTGGCCAAAAGTCTTCCCATGAACTTCTGTAGCTGAGGGAGACCTAGTACCTGGGTCTCCTAGTCTAATGCTACACATTCTAGTAGTAGTTGTTGTTCTTCATGATGGTCTCTGACAGAATTCTGCCAGTTAACAAAATAATTGAACAGTTTCTGTTTCAGGTAATATAAACTACAAACATAAATCACTGAGGTAATTGAGGTGTGTTGAGTTTTATGAGCAGTATAATGAAACTTTGCCACTTTCAAGGAAACAAAATCATACTGGTTTGGCCAGAATAGCTGTGCATAAAATAAGTGAGAATGTATTATATATCAGTAATGGCTCCTTTATCTTGTCCTGTAAATTTACAAGCGTTTGCATCGAATGCAGATCAACCCCACTGTTACTAGGGGGTAAAGTAAAATCTCTTCCTTCAAATTGATCTTGATTCCTGATAATTGCAAAGACATATCCTTATTCTTGGAAACAGTATGGAAGTGGTTTCACACTGTTGCTTTCTGGAATTTTCCTACAGCCCTGGGATTTCTTAGTTGTCTCCCATCCATACTAACCAAGTCTGACTCTGCTTACCTTCTGAGTCCAGACAAGATTGGCTAGATGGGAGCAAGCAACAAAACTTGATTTAGTCTCCTTGGAGAACCGGTTATATGTTTTCCCCATCATTCTGGTCCATCAACTAGCAATGGCCTTCTTCTCCCAGCTCCCCTTTCTCACTATTGGATAGAGAAAGAAGAAGGAAAGCCGACATGCCAGCTTGCAACCAACATCCTACCTTCTCCTAAATATCTACCCTTTTGTACAAATGTAGTTCTATTAGTGAGAGTTCAGGGAGTCATACTGATGGTGCCTGGAAGTTGGGTTGGTGAGGAGAATACAAAGGTGCAGTGGAGACTGAGGGGTTCTATGATGAATAACGGTGTGGGGAGAGCTTTTTGAGAAGGTAATTTGATCCAGGGCAGACCGTCCCATGAGTGACAGCAAACTATTTGGCTTAGATAGCAGGGTTCATTCTCATAACTCCCTAACCAGGCTCAAACATTCCCTGGTAATCATGTTTATATGATATGCTCTCGTAATGTCTTTCTCTCATCCCCAGCCGTGCACTGAGGTAGCTTAAAGGGGTCTTTACCTGTTCCAGTTTTAAAACAAAGTTTTCTCTTTTCTCCTGCCTTTGTGCTGTGATCGTAATCTAACATGCTTCGATACCAGTGAGGAACCAGGATCTGCCACATCTTACTGGCACTTCAGGATCCTGAGGAACATCTTCTCCTCTTCACTTGCTGGACATTTTGGCTTGGCTATAAAAAAGATGGGACTTCTAGCTTCCTCAGAGGCCCACAAAGTGCCTAACTAGCACTTCATGAAGTGCTTGTCCAGTCTTACTCCCAAAATTCCCGTTTCTTAAACATGGATTTAGCACTCTTGTGAAAAAGTGCTAGTTTGCAATGCAAAAAACAAACAAAGCTATATATAAACTGAGAAAAAAAGTGGGATTCTGCCAACTCTGCTGCTGATTTGGTTACTAATGACTGTATTAATGCTTTTACACTGCGTCTGCTGAAAAAGGGTTTTATGTGGCTGTATTTTTTACTCATTTTATTACTGGGGAAAATGAGCACCGTTTTATTCATTTGTTTGTTTTCCCATTTTTGTATCGCAAGACTCTGGGTAGCACACAACATGGAAAACACAGACCAAGTAAGAAAAGAGTCTTAATACTCCGAGCTATAATCCTAAACTAAACCAGTGGTCACTCACAGTCGTGCTATTGACCAGAGGTCAGTTGAAATAAAATTGGCTTCATGTCTGCTGGAATTAGAGGAGAGTTGGAGCCAAGTGTACCTCTGGGGGGCAGCGTATCCAAAGCATGAGATCTGCTTCCCGGAAAGGCTGACCCAAAGCCCCTGTACCCTACACCTCATGTGAGGGCAGGATTCTCAGCAAGCCTTCTGTAGATGTTCACACTAGATGACCAGAACATCTCTCGGTCTCTTCTCTTGCTTACTCCTATCCCATTTTGCCTCCTCCACAAGCTACTATCTCTATCGCTACCAGCATTGGTATTGCCTTGCAGCATTATTTGAGGTTGGAACTCACTTGTTATCAGTCAATGTCTTCCACAGCCAGGCTATGTTTTGGACGTGGGTTTTAAAAGCGCCTTAGACCCATGTTCAGTAACAGTTAGTAGAGCTAGATCTCTGCGCCTGCAACCTTTTTGCCAAGCAATTCAGCAGGTAGGTAAACCTGTTCTTCAAAGCATGCGTGCCCATCCCAATCCCACCTCATATGAAGGACAGTGATTGATGGTTATTTCTCCTGCTTTGGTGGGAGGGGAATCGTTGTCAGGGGAATCCACAGATTGCTTCCCTTAATTGTCCTGCATTAAAACGGTCAGGACTGTGCAACTTGCAAGCCTGGCTACTGAAGCAAAATAGGGCCCAGGTATTTCCAGCTATGCAGTTGTTCATCTGGCAGACAGACAGAAGGAATTACAAAAAAAAAAAAAAAAATTAACCTAAAACTTAGAGAAGAGCAAATACAATCTCTGCCATGGCTGCTTGTCCTGTCACAGAAAGGAGATAGCGGCCAGGATCCCCAAAATGCAGAGCTGCTCACCGATGTTCAGGTTTCGCGGCTGAGCCTCCTTTCCCTCCCACCTAGCAGAGCTGAGATCCGTTGAGCATATCCCAGATCAAAGCTGTAAGCTTCAATCAGATTAATTGGTAGATTAAGCCAGTGGAGCTTGCATTTGGATTTTGGTGGGAGAAATCAGACTGTACTGCTGACAATGAGATGTAGGCCATCATTCATTACATCGAAGAGACGAGGGGCTTAGTGTCCTCGAGAAGCACCTATATTAATTAAGCTTTTGGTAATATGCAAATGTATTTAAATATCCCTGATTAAACACTGTAATCAACCAAAGGCCTTTTAAATGATGGATAGCTCTGGAAATGCATGAGCAAGAAAAGAATCTCTTAATGCCGGTCCTGTTCCTTGTCTCTATGCAAGTACAGCAACATACAGGTATGATGGGAGATTTCCCATCCCATATTAGTCTTAAGAGAGTCCCTTGCACATTCTTAAAGCCAAGTTCTGCTGATAAGTTACCTGAAAATTGTTTACGTAACTGCCTGGGTGTGTTTTCACTGGGTGATCAGTGGCTTTCTCTTCCAAGTGGCACATAGTCACTTTCATGGTGGGGAGGCCATGACTATTATTTATCATTTATTTCTTAGACTGATGACCCACTTTTCCTCCAGAAGTTCAAGACAACCTCCATGACACTCCTTCTTCCATTTTCCCCCCATAACAACAAGCCAGGGAGGAAGTGACTGCCCCCAAGTCATGCTGGGAGTTTCCATGGTAGAGGGTGGACTCTCAGGAATTTGAGATTTCTTGATCCTAATCTAGTATTTTAACCACTACAGGAGTTTTTT